CATATTTGATCGTGGTGGTGAATACTATGGTAGATGTGACGGATCAGGAGTACAATGTTCAGGGCCTTATGCTAAAATTCCTAGAGGAATGTGGAATAATCCCACAGTACACTATGTCAAGATCCTCTAGCATAAGTGGTGTTACTGAAAGACGAAATAAAATAATTAAGGACATGGTAAGGAGCATGATTAGTCATTTCACCTTACTAGAATCTCTATAGGAAAAAGCATTAAAGACTACAAGTTAAATTCTCAATAAAGTTTCAAGTAAAACAACTGTTAAGGGGTTACAATTTTTTTAAAGATCTCACTATTAGGTCAATTTCGAAATGAAAAATGTCCAATTCCTTGAGGATATAGAGTTTGTGGGAAAATAAGGTTTTAAAGATAAGGATTTTGTCTTCGAGGAAGAATATGTATATATCACCTCTAATTCAATTGACAATAATCGGGATCGAGACAAATTCTTACTCCAGATCTTATTCAAAAAACAATTTCGAATTAAAATAACATTAAAAAATCCCCCATACAACAATCAAGAAATGTTCCAGAGAACAAACTCAACAACGTCGAGAATAAATGTCATTAAGGAAATTTACTATAGAAAGGAGAAAGACAATCACGGATGATTTTATAGTCTTTCTTTAATAAAATAAGGGTGACATTAGATTGATGACAGATAATGTGATCAATCAACTTTCATCTAACCATACAAAGGAATAATTCCATTACCTAGAGTTGGTTGATACAATGAATAAAAAGATAAAGTTCATGAAAGATAATGACGTTTGGGAACACATCACATTGCCTAAAGTGTGAAGCCTATTGGTTGTAAATAGATATTTAAAACCAAGAAAGATTCGAAGGGTGATGTGGAGAGATATAATGTTCGTCTTGTTGCAAACGACTTTATTCAAAAGGAAGGCATTGACATTAAATAGACTTTCTCTTCGGTTTCTATGAAAGACTCTTTTATGACTATTATGGCATTTGTGATACACTTTATTCTTAAGTTACGTCAGATGGTTTACAAATTAACAAATCCATCTATGGGCTTAAGCATGTTTCCAATCAATGGTATCACAAATTTCATCAAATAATTATCTCGTTTGGTTTTGAGATGGATTCAGTTAATGATTGTGTATATCACAAGCTCAGTGGAAGTAAGCATATTTTTTGGTAATGTATGTTGATGATATATTGTTCGCCTATAATGATTTATGCTTGTTGCACAAAATCAAGAGATTTTTGTCATGAAATTTTGACATAAAAGATCATGGTGATGCCTCTTTTGTGTCAGGGATACAAATGCACCTGAATGGTTTTCGAGGTATTTTCACATTATTACAAAAGAGCTATATCGATAAGGTTCTTAAGAGACTTGGGATGCAAGAATGAAAATCAGGTTATTTGTAACGACCTGGGTCCCACTTAACGGGCTGTCCTGGCAGTTAGATCGACGACGTACTGTCCTCACTGTACCAACATGGGTCTTTTCAGCATGCTTTGTCCTCACTCGTATGCTCCCCGAGAAAACTTCCCAGGGGGGTCACCCATCATAGAATTGCTCCAAATTACCATAGTGGTGAATATTATGACAAATTTGACGGATTAAAAGAGTAATGTCCACAACCTTTTGCTAAATTCCTAGAAAATTGTGGAATCGTCCCACAATAAAGTAGAATCTTTCTAGGAAGAAGCACTAAAGACTACAGTTCAATTTTTAAATAAAATTCCAAGTAAAACAACTTTTAAGAAGTTACAATTTTTTAAAAAAATATCCCACTATTAGATCAATTTTTGCAACGGGAAATTCTAATTCCTTGAGGATGTAGAGTTTGTCGGGGGAGATAAAGTTTTAAGGTTAAGAATTTTGTCTTGAATGAAGAATATGTATATATTTCTTCTGTTGCAATTGAAAATGTTCAGGACCAGAGACAAATTCTTGCTCCAAATCTCGTTTAAGAAGCAATTTTAGATCGAAACAATATTACAAAAACCTTATACACAATAAAAAGATTGTTTCAGAAGAACAAACTCAACAACCTCAAGAGCAAAAGGAAATTCACTGTAAAAAGAGAAAGAGAATTCTGAATAATTTTATAGTTTTTTCTCCAAGAAAAATAAGGATGGCAATGTATCGATGGAAAAAGATCTGATGAATCAACTTTCATCATGCATTACAAAAGAATAATTCACAATAGTGGATTGATGTCATGAATGAATAGATAAAATCTATGAAAGACAATGGTGTTTGAGAACTCATATAATTGCCCGAATGTGCGAAAAACATTGTTTGTAAATGGATATTTAAAACTAAGAGGGATTCGAAGGATTATGTGGAAAGATATAATGTTCGTCTTGTTGCAAATGATTTTATTCAAAATGAAGGCATTGACATTAAAGAGACTCTCTCCAATTTCTATGAAATACTTTTTTTAGGACTATTATGACATTACACATTTTTTTCTTAAGCTATGTCAGATGATTTACATATTAAAGAAATTCATCGTTGAGTTTAAGTAGCCTTCTCGTCAGTGGTGTCACAAATTTCATCAATTAATTATCTCGTTTGATTTTGAGGTAAATACAGTTGATGACTGTGCATACCACAATTTTAATGGGAGTAAGTATATTTCTTTGGTATTGTATTTCGATGACATACTACTTTCCTGCAATGATATAGACTTATTGCACGAAACTAGGAAATTTCTGTCATGGGATTTTAAAATTAAAGATTTTTGTGACGCCTCTTTTGTGTCGGAATACAGATACACCAGGATCGTTCTTGGGGTATGTTTGGATGATCACAAAAGAACTATATTGATAAAGTTCTTAAAATATTTGGGATGCAGGAATGTAAATCAGATGATACCGCTACTACTAGGATAGACAACTTTAGTCTCAATAAATACCACGATGATAAACTTAAAGAAAGAAAAATACTAAAAATTCTCTGTATTTCAGCAGTTAGGAGTTTAATGTATGCTAATATTTGCACACATTCGGATATAACATGCATTGTTGGAATGCTAGACGGATATTTAAGTAACTCTACGATGGATATTTGGAAAGTAGTTAATCACGTTATTCGGTATTTATAGAGAACTAAGGATTATATGATCACACATAGAAAATCAGACCAATTGGAGATTATTGGCTATACTGATTCTGATCATGGAATATGAGTGCGAAATTTTATAACGAAATTTTATTAATATACGTGATCATTGATAGGTTTATAATGAAAACCGCCTTGATCCTAAATTAATATAACCAATTGACGAGATTGTTCAGAAATGTTTTTGATTATGTTAGCAAAAATTTTGAAATCATAAGATTATACACATTTATCATGTAACATATGTGACCCAGGTGGAAAATTGTTGAATTTATTAATTTGTCACGGGGTCTACATATGTAATTAATTGTATATAAAGTTATCTTAAAGTTGAGCTCAATTAAAGTTATTTAATAAAGAATTAAATTGTTGAGTTTTGGACATCTAAATAAAGTTGGTCCGGATTATGTGTAAAGATCGAATCCATTAGGATTGTATTTGACGATGAATCAAATACATATAGAAATTATATATATGGCTATGATCCCCAATTCATGGGTAATTATCATTCTTTGTGTCATTCCATCAACACAAGAATATAAGAAAAAACATATTGAATAGAAAGATTCAAAATCCACAATCAAAAATAGACAATCAAGAATCAAGAAAAATGAATTCAAGAATGAGGACTATAGACCAAGAAACAAAATCAATAACAATAATTAAAGAATTAAATGAGGCAAAATTCAAGATTAAAAGTGAAGAACCCAAAAATGAAAAGATTGCAGTTCAAGCTTCAAGATTCAAGATCGGAACCAAGATCCATTATAAAGAATCATTCTCAAATAATTAAGGTATATTCCACATTATTAATTTTCATGGTGATTTGTCATAGAGGATCTTGACAATAAAGAAATTTAGATTTTTAATTTCTAAAGTTTCTAATTTTGTGAAGTTTAAAGTATCATAAAATTTTAGTAGCAACATCAGTCTCTTCATCACACTCCCAAACACCAGTGTAAATGTCATCGTGTATCAAAAATTTTGACCCTTTCGTATTGGTGGGCCGGCACAAAACCAGGGCAAAAGGCGCATTTCATGCTCTTAATGGGTAAGTAACTATGGTCTTGGTAAAGTATTATCATTATTTTTAAAGTTAATGGGATTTTTTCTAATCTCGACTGAACACAAGTGAATTTTATCGAGAAAAGAAAGTAAATCTATAGAGCGAACGAATTATTACATATCTCGAATTTTCAAATTTACCATATCATGTGTTTAATGTGTGGGCACGTTATAAGACATGTTGATTCTTACTTAACTGGCATTTTAATATTATGTTGATATTTGTATGATGTCGTTTACTATATTCCTTTGACCTGAGCTTCCGCCTCAACTCAACTTTTTATTACTTGTTTTGCGATCTTCTCATCGTCGTCTCTTCTAATATATCTTCATATTATAGGAGTGTTTGAGATTCATTATTTTAAAAAAATGTATTTCACAAAGGTATCAATCCTTATACAATCCCTTTTTGGCCTTCCAATTTAAAGAATAATTTAATCACTTAAAATCTAACGAAAAAATAAGCTGTTTTTGCATGGCTCAAAAAAACAAACACTAAATCATTGATCAAATGCCGGAATCCTTGGAACAATCTCTTAACAAACACCACAACAATCCCCTCCCTCTCTCTCTCCCCCTTGTCTCTCTCTACCGTCCTAACAACGTAGTCTTTTGTTGTTTGTACAACCAACCTTAGTTTCCCCCGTCAGTTGGGAGAAGAGGAGGGAAAAACAAAACATTCCCCCCTCCCATCCCCTCTCCTCGTCACAAATTTCTAATAAAATTATGTAATTTACGAAAAATCACACCCACTTCATATTGATTTTTTTGTTAGACGGTCACCACCGCCGTCGCCATCGCCGTGGTCATATCTATGAGAAAACTTCTTCTTTCTTTCTTTTTCCAAAATGACCAGGCATTGCCGCCGGATTTACTGTCGCCTGAATCCTATGTTATACCATTGTCGCCATCGCTGGCTGTATCTCCGTCGACCTTTGAAGAAGTGTATACAAATCCGAGCTTTTTTATCCCTTCAGTTCTGATGGCCAGAAGCAGTTTCGATTTAGTCACCGTCGCCATTATCGCCGCCTTCCTCCTCCTCTCTGTTCTTTCCTTTTTATTCATATTCCACCTCCGCCTAAAATCACGTAGAATGCGGCATTTACAAGAATTTAACTCTCTCTGGATCGTGAGATTACTCCTTGTAACGTTAGCTTTTCTCTGGGCGGTGAATGAAATTATACGCCTACCAAATATTCGACGAACGTACCTTGACCCTTTTTTAACGTTAAATCAACAAACAAATCTTTGTAAATTCCACGTTGTTCTTTCTCTTGGATTCTACGAACCGGGTTTCTTAATCACCCTTCTTTTCTTTGTTAATGTTTCGATTAAGAAAAAAAACCCATGTCGAATGTGGGCTCTATTGTGTGTGTCCATGGTGTGTTCCCCCATGATATTGATACAGACAATTCTTGTCTACTTTGCCCCATTGGAGACACAGCTCCCTAAATTCGTGCATGGTAGTTCAATTCTTACAATTGATTTTCAAGGAAACAAAACGGTTCTTTGCACATACCCATTTTTCAGTTGTGTTGTTTTTTGGGTATTTGCAATTGTTTATGCATTAGCTTTCTTGTTTTCATGTTGGAGGGTGCTGGACTTTGTGATCAACAAGAGTATTCGAGTGCGAATCAACGTGCTGCTCGCGGCCGTAATGGTGGCGCTGCCAATGCAAATCATCTGCCTCGGGCTATCATGGTTGTGGCTGCCCGAGGATGACGAGTATGGCTATGTCGTGCTAGTCATGTTCTTTTTTATCACCACGTGCATGGCGGTGGGAGAGGTTATATTGATAATAAAGCCAATCACTGATGCCTTGGCAGCCGAGGGTGAATGTTGTCGGCGTTTCTCTGGCGGATTACCGCCGAGGCGGCCGGCGGAGCAAAGAGAACAAGTGGATCATCAAGAACCTGGTCTATAGCGATGGGCTTTGGTCATTCTCTTTTTTTCAAATTATTTGAGGGCATTGATGCCTGTCATTTGATTGTAATTTTTCTGCCCTGTGATCCCATTTGCATAATATTTCAAATGAATCAGAACAATGTATAATTAGGAAAAAATTTTGTTCTAAATTTGGAAATAGTGAAAAAAAAAAAACTCGGTAAAAAACTCAACTTGATTTCCTTCTTTTGTTGATGATTTGTTCTGAAAATATATTGACGCAGTCGTTGAAATGTTGCATTCACAAAATGAATTCTACTTAAATGACTATTTTGCTTCATTTCATTCTCATTTCTTCACGAGTCAAAGTTAAACTTTAATCTCAATAAATTTAAAACTATTATTATCAATGCATTCGTGATCCTACCACAATTCCAACTAAAGAGTTTACATAACTCGACTCAATCATATCTAGATCATCATCCTTACAAGCCAAAACGGTAAATCAACGTTACACTACACAACCGAATTTCTCTTAGTAGTCAAAGAAAACAAAATTGAATTGATACAGGCATATGTAAAACAAAAAAGAGAAAAAAAAAACCAAAAATAGTTAAAATTTGTCTTGAAACTAAGAAAAATGAATACCAGCCTTGTTAAACAAGGAGAGTAGGTGCATGAAATCTGCTTGTGCGAGATTGGAAGATCTTCATTCTTCAAAACCTCCTTGCTTTAACACACCTAAAACTCTTTCTTTAAAATCAGAAGCTTTTGTATCCCCATCATCCATCTCCATATCCTCGTCATCTCTCCCTTCGTCAGTGTCCATGCTAAAGTCACCAAGAGTGTCTCCCAAAGCAGTGACACACATGGCCATTTCTGAAGAATCTGACAACCCTTCTTGAGAAAGCTGTAATGCTTGCAAGGTTTTATAGTTCTTCTCTAGCACCGAAAGGACACTCTTTTGCCTAAATATTGAACCAAGAGTTTTGTTTTTGCGGTTAAAGCAAATCCGAACTAAACCATCCCATTCCTTAAAATTCACCGCAGGAAGTGGTTTCCTTGGTTCAATCCTGACCACAGAAGAGTCAACCTTTGGCGGAGGCCTGAAGTTGTTCCTTCCCACTTTTAGCAAGTGGTTTACCCGAGCCAACAGTTGAGTGTTCACAGACAGGCGACAGTAAAGGTTATCACCAGGCTGAGCAACAAGCCTCATGGCAAATTCCCTTTGGAACATTATTACCGCACACCTGAATAATGGGCGATGAGACAATAATTTGAAAGTAAGGGGGGACGAAATTTGATATGGGATATTTGCTACACAAATGTCAAAGTATGGAAGATCGCACTTCAGTACATCTCCTTGTATAACCTGCAGGAGATACATTACAACACATGCTCAGTTCTACTACTTATTTAGAATGACGAATAACACATTCCAGATCAGCAGTAAACTATTATTACTGAAATTATTCATTAAAATTGTCAAAAATAAACAGATCAACACAAGTTGTCTTACCTATCATTTTTTTCCAGTAACAACTATTTTGAAAACAGTTAGCAGACCATACATCTTTTGCAGAAGTCAAATAAGTAATATCATGAAGTGGTAAACATTAATATGGCATTTGTACGTAAAAGAAATCTGGAAGAAAAGGCAATACAGATTTCTAAGAGGTGGCAAACAACAATTTGGTATTTGACATCAATTTTCATCAACAAAATGTCGACGTAAATTATGATATGCACAAATTACTCTGAGAATGACGAACAGCAGGTGAAACAAGGGGGGCGAGCAGTTCCTCTGGGACTATTGAGGTCAATTATCATCAATAAAATGTCAAAAATTACTCCATGAAAGTTGAATAGCAACCATGAAAAGAGAGCTGGGAATTCCCAAGAACTAATAATATCAATTTTCATCAAAAATACATCAATGTCAATTCTGTGAAACTGTGAAAGGTCTTTGCTAACATATGGAATCACTTCAAGAACATCACACGCAAAAATAGGGCGAGATATTCCATGGAGTAACTCCGATACTTAAGTCAGTAAAAGGATAGTAAAACTTGAGAAGAGAATTGATCAAGAAGATATTTAAGAACATAACTGAGCAAATCTTAGAACCTTATAGGACATTTTTCATAGTTAACATAGGTACATGGAATAGAATCTTAAGATGTTATCCTATTATCTCTTGTGATGGAATTGTATCGCGGTATCAATTTGGATGAGATTAAGATGTTATCCTATTATCTATTGTGATGGAATTGTATCGCGGTATCAATTTGGATGAGATTTTAAGAGAGTTAAAATCTATCCACAATAAGACCAACATTTGTTGTGGAAAAAAAATCAATCTCATGAATGATTAAATTCTATCTACTAAACTAAATTGATATAATCTATTATCATCATAATTAGGAGCTAAGTCCAATTCGAACAAGACACTTGGCATGTTTAGCTAAAGTTAAAAGCTCATTCAAATGAGCTTCTTTGGGGAAACTCTTTCTAAGGAGCTTTTATATAATGAGCTTCTTTGGGGAAACTCTTTCTAAGGAGCTTTTATATTTAGTCAAACATCCCCGTTTCAACATGGAAAGTCCACTAACTATAAACAAATACAAGCCTCTAAGTATGGTCAAGTTACACAACAAATACGCTCTAAATTCCTTATTCAATTCTTTTTCACAAATTTTATAACCATTTACTGACTTGACCGTCAGAGTGTTTTTAGAAAAAATTTCCACCAACTTTTTACAAGTTCCAGGAGTACTTAATTTTTATATATAGACAAAAACAATTGCCATAAATTGACATTGACTCTTACTCAAGAAAATCAAAATCACCACTTCGTTAACTCGGTTTCTGCCATGACTTCATACCATGTGCTCAAATGTAATATTTGCTTTCCTAGACTTGAAGTAATAGCATACCCAGCATGCTAATTTGCCTCCTTGAAAAATATGTCCATTAACTTGCATCAGATAATCATA